AATACAAAAATTAGCCAGGCATGGTGGCTCATGCCTATAATCCCAGCTACTCGGGAGGCTGAGGCAGGAGAATCGCTTGAACCTGGGTGGCAGAGGTTACAGTGAGCTGAGATCGCGCCATTGCACTGAAGCCTGGGTAACACAGCGAGACTCCGTCGCAAAAAAAAAAAAAAAAAAAAGGAAAAGGAAAAAAGAAACCCTGTGCCCATTAGCAGTCACTCCCCATTTCCCCCTAGTCTTCCCTCTCCTCTCCTCTCCCCTCCAAGAATGAGGCAACCACTAGTCTTCTTTTAGTCTCCAGAGATTTGTCTATCTGGACATTTCATGTAAATGGCACCATACAATAGATGGCCTTTTCTGACCCACTTCTTACACGTAACATAATGTGTTCAAGGTTCATCCATGTTGCTGCATTTGTCAGTACATACTTCATTCTTTTTTATTTCTGCATAATATTCCTGTGGTTGGATATACTACCTTTTTTGGTCCTTTCATCAGTTGATGGATATTTGGATTGTTTCCACTTTTTGACTATTATGAATAAATGCTGCTATGAATATTCGTGTACAAGATTTTTTGTGGGCATAAGTTTTCATTTATGTTGAGTATTCACCTACCTAGGAGTGAAATTGCGGGGGTAATATGCTAACTCTGTGTTTAACTATTTGAAGAACTGTAAAATATTTTCCAAAGAGGCTGCACCATTTTACATTTCCACTAGCAATGTACAAAGGTTCCAATCCCCCTACACCCTCACCAATACTTGTTATCTGATTTCTTTATTTTAGGCATCCTTGTGGGTGTGAGATGGTATCTCATTGTAGTTTTGATTTGTATTTTCTTAATGACTAGTAATGTAGAGCATCTTTTCCTGGGCTTGTTGGCCATCTGTATATCTTCTTCGGAGAAATTTTCATTCCAATTATTTGCTCATTTGTAAATCGAGTTGTCTTTTTTATTGTTGAGCTGTAACACTTCTGGATTCAAGTTGCTTATGAAATATATGATTTGTAATTATTTTCTCCCATTGTGTGGCTTGTCTTCACTTTCTTGATTGTGTCCTTTGAATCACAAAGGTTTTTAATTTTGATGGAAGTCCAGTTTATTTTTGTTGTTGTGCTTTCGGCATTATATATCTAAGAAGGTTTTGCCTAACCCAAGTCCACAAAGACTTACTCCTGTTTTCTTCTAGGAGTTTTGTAGTTTTAGCTTTTATATTTAGATCTATGATATATTTGGAGGAATTTTCATGTACAGTATAAGGGAAAGATCCAACTTTATTCTTTTGCATGTAGATATTCAGTTGTCCTAGCACCATTTGTTGAAAATAATATTATTTCCATAGTGAATTCTCTTGGCGTGGAATAGATTTTGAAGTGTTACCTTACTTTTTCACCTGATGCTACCCCTAATTTCTTTAAACATCTATTCATTTCCATTGATCATTTCTGGCCTCATAGCTCAGGCCTCTTGGCTAAGCCCTCCCCTAAGGCACCCATTTTAACACACACTGGTGTATAGAGCCCAGACAGGAGGCGGTCTCTATCTCCATGTGGATTAGCCAGGGTAGACCAAGTACTATAACAAACAGCCTCCTCCACCTCAGTGACCCTACACAATCAAAGTTTATTTTTCTCTTATGGTAGTCCCGTGTGAGTTGGTGGGGGAAGGGGTGTTCCATGCACGTACTCAGGGCTCAGTCTCCTTCCAGCTAGAGCTCTTCTGTCGCCTTGGGCTTTATAGTCCTCTTTTCTCCCTTAGCTGCTGACCAGACCCAGATGGTCAGGTCTGCTGTCCCCAAGGGCTTATTGTCCTTCACTAGATCTTCTGGCTCTGGCCAGTAGTCAAAGGAAGAAAGAGAGAGAACATGGAGGATTTTGCAGGAATTTTATTAAGAGCCAGGCTTGGAAGCACCACACATCATTCCTACTTCCCCAAGATTCACCATACAGCTCCAACTGGCTGCAAGATAAACTGAAAGATGTCGACTCACTGTATGCTGGGAGGAAAGAGAGACAGAATTTGGTGAACATACAGCAATCTCTGTCGTAACGTCTATGTAATCTATTTTAAGAATTGACTCCCCAAAATTGTGAGTGTGAATATGTTTGCTCCTAGCTGCTGCAGAACCCGTCCACCTCCAATCTCCCTCCTCCACATTCTGTGATAGGGGCATGTCTCTCCAGCAGCTCAGTTGCAGTTTGTGTGAGCCCCCTTGAAAGGCAGTTCCTGGTTTGAAGAAATGCAAAGATCTGTCTGAGCGGAAGAGAGAGCAGAACTGCAGCAGTCTATGGGAAATCCAGTAGAAAATTCCAGGGGGAGGGAGCCGGTTTCCTGAAAGTTTAAGCTCAAGGCGACCTGAACAATGTATCATGGCAAATCCTTGGGTGTTGAGTATGCTAAGGTTATAGTCTGTATTATGAATTTGGATCTTGTAAATGTCCACTTATTGAATGTCATAAACTGAGGGATTATAAACAAATGAGGCATGAAGACAGAGCAGATTTCTCCTGTCTGGAAAGAACTCCTAGGATTGAAATGTCGTGGGCCTCTGATTAAACTGTGCTTTTGTTGCATGTCCTATGAGACACTGATTTTTCCTTGTCTCTTCTATATTCTTCTGCTGACGCTGAAGTCCTTTCTTCCACTCTGCCATTCACAGGCGCAGAAGAAGCAACTACATGTTTTCCAGAGCCCTCATCGAGAATATAAGAAGGTACCTGGTCTCTCCTACACCATGTGCTGTCCCCAGTAAACTAGCCCCGTCCTTTTGTCTTTTCCTCATGCAGGCCTCAACTGCTGGTCCCCTTTGTAAGGGCTCCAAGCCCCCTGCACCTCACTCTAAATCTGGGCCCTCAACTGAACTGATACCCATGTTAGAGGAAACATATTTGTGCGTTTCTGAAAGACTCAATTTGCCAACTTTTCAGAAAATCGCAGACCCCGTCTGCGATTTGCTCCTTCACTACTGATTTTGAATAATATCGTGTGTGGCTTGGCGTTTGCTTCCTTCTACTCTGACTGTCCCTTGAAATATGTCTCAGGCCACACCCTCTACCTGGATCGCCCACTTCACTCCAAAAGCCCCCTCCTACCAATATTCAAAAAATTCTAAAATCACACTTCGCTCACAGAACCTTTCCCAGTAAACTGGGACCAGGATGATGGTTCTCTCCTTCCCCTACCCCCAAAACCCATCCTGTCTGGACCTGCCATGCACGGGTCATTCGTCACACAACCACACCAAAAACTCTTGCACCATTTCTTTATTCATTACATTTCACTAATTAACACATTTGTTATTTGTCTCGGGCTGGTTTGCCCAGTTGTAGCTGTCAGTCTGAATCAGTGAGCTCCATCTGACACTGCAAACTTCTAGAATAAGGGATCCTTTCATTCTTGATTATAGCCACCAATAATCATGTTCTGTTTTTTCTTGGGTTCTGGCCTGTGGTCACACAAAACATCAGAACTGAAGTGATGCCTTTAGCTCCCACAATGCATATGGTGACTAAAGGGAAAGTGGAGTGAGCCCAACAGATACTAAGACCATTTATCATGGGCCCTGATTTAAACACAGCACCTTAGGGATTCTTGCCTGAACCCAGTGAGGAGCATAGCTTCGGCCTCATTTTCTAGATGAGACTCAGAGAGGTTCAGTAGCTTGCCCAAAATCAAACCCTAAATTCTGGAACCATTATGCAAATCACGTCTGTCTGATTTTCTGTTTCTTGATGCCTCCCTAAGCCCAAGTGGCAGGTGTTACTGTTCAGCACCCTTGCTTAGAATAAAGTGCCTCAGAGCTTTCTCTACATACATGTGTTGATCACAAAGGAGAGAGGATAGCAGCAAAAATCCATCTCTTCTATTAAACCACTAGCTCAATACATATGCCCTGTTGATAATAAGTGAGTACTTTCATTTAGGTACTCATCGATCAAGAACGATAGCAGGTGCAATGAAATGGATAGAGACATCCCATTCCCCTCCCCCAACCCCATGAAGGAGCTGAGTAATATTTTCATAGGGAAAAATTATATGGTCATAAGAATGAGTTTGGGACTCAGTTCTTTCCTATATGTTGGTGAGAATGGATTGCTTTGAGGAAAGATAACAGGCTAGCATGTATGGACTAAAAAGTATTTAAAGGGTCTCTTTCTCTGCACATAGCTGGGCTCGTAAAGTTCTTTTATAGCCTACAGCAGTGACCCAGGTAGTGTTCAGGTACGTGGAAAGGGTTTTAGAGAAGATTCCATTAAGTTCACAGTGAAAGGCTTTTGGCTTTTGATTATTAGCAACTGATAGGACCATCGGGATGTGCAGATGGAGTGCAGTTTATTCCCAATGAGGCTATTTCTGTCATCAGCCAGGTCTTCTCCCAGATCTTCTCCCAGATCCTCCTCCCTCACAACCACTATCTGGCCTGGCAGGCAGCAGTGAGGGTGAGAGTCACGGAGAGGGAAACAAAAGCAACAGTAATGCCATTTACCTACCCCGATCTCAAAATATAGTGGCTTGAAGCAGCTATTCCTTTGCTCACTAATTTATGGGTTAGTAATTTGGACTGTGCTAAGCTAGGACAGCTGATCTGTGCTCTGAGCGGTGTTAGTAGTGCTCAATCATGTGGCCAGGTCTTGGCTAGGATGGCTGGGCTGGCTGAGTCTCCCTCTATGTGTTCTTTCGCCCTCTAGGAGGCTAACTTGGGCTGTCTACGTATTGAAGGAAGAATCCCTACCAGCTGGAGAGAGTAGGTCCCATTGTAAATTGCTTTTCAAGCCTCTGCTTGCATCAGTCTTGCCAATATCTCATGGATTGAAGCAAGTCACACCGCCAAACCTAGCATCAATGTGAGAGGCAACTCTGCAAGGAGATGCGTTCAGGGAGATGTGATGTATTGAGGACCATCAGTGTAACAATCTACCATACCATATTTTATAGAATATATGCTACAGTGTGTTTTATGCTCTCCATATGAGCAACTTTTTCTTTTGGAATAATTTGTTCTTTTTTTTGCCTCAAAAAGTGACATTTATTCAAAGAAAAAAAAATGACAAGATGTCCATCCTTTGGCTTCCTTCCCTCCCCCACCCCTGCTGCTCCTCAGCCCCCCAAGATTGAACTCTGGCTGGGGCTAGGAAGCAGGACAGCCCCTCAGGAGAGGTCAGCAACACTGAGGCGCATTTCCTCCTGGAGGTGTGGTAGAAGGTCTCGATGTCTTCTTCTGTCACCATGTGAATAGCCACACCTTTACGGCCAAACTGTCCGCCTCGGCTCGTTCTGTGGAAATGTTTTCCCTGTTGGTGGGAAGGTCGTAGTTGATGACTAAAGGAACCTGCTGCACATCAATGGCTCTGGCCAGCAGGTCAGTGGTAATCAAAACTCTGCTAGAGCCAGAAGCAAACTCCCTCATGATCGCGTCTCGTTCTTTTTGGTCCGTATCTCCACGCATGGCCGAGACAGTGAAATCCCCAGCATGCATCTTCTTGGTGAACCAGTCCACCTTCCTTCGGGTGTTGAGGAAGACGACTGCCTGGGTGATGGTCAGGGTTTCATACAAGTCACGCAGTGTGTCCAGCTTCCCCTCTTCTCGTTCTACGTTGATGTAGAATTGGCGGATACCCTCCAGGGTCAACTCTTCCTTCTTGACAAGAATCCGAATGGGGTCCCTCATGAACTTCTTGGTCACCTCAAGCACATCAGAAGGCATCGTAGCTGACGGCAAAACTACCTGGGTGTTGCTGTGGAGCTTTTGGAATATGTCATAGATCTGGTCCTTGAATCCACAGCTTAACATTTCATCAGCTTTGTCCAGTACAAACATCTTGATGTATTTGGGAGGCAGGTATCTCCGGTTAAGCATATCAAACACACGGCCAGGGGTACCCACGATGATATGGGGAGCTAGATCATCTAGAAAACCCAGAGATTGGTCCAGGAGAGACCCAGCGTGTGACCCCTGTCTCACAAATAGTCAGACTGTTTGTGTCTGTAGCCCACAAGGCTACAGCGATCCAGGGAGAGGAGACTGCCTCCCCGCTCCGGGCAGCCCAGCAAGGAGCTGTCCCCACTACTCTGTTCCACCTTCTGCTGCGACCCAGGAGGGTAGGTCCAGGGGAGCTGGAGGGGCAAAGTGTGTACCCTCCATGCCTTTGTCTCCTATGTCAAGGTGCTGTCAAGATACACAGCAAGGAGTATGAGATACATACTCCTTGAAGAGGAGACTGACTTCAAGTAGGATCAAAGGTTACTATTTTAAAAACAAAACTTTTTATTATAGATTATTTCAAACACAGTGCACAGCTTTGAAAAATATTCATTCATTCATTCATTCATTCATTCATTCAATAAATGAAAGGACAGACTCCCAGATAGGCAACTGCAGAGTGGGTGTGCCCAACCAGACCTCAACCCCGTCCCCAGCTGTGATTGTCTTCTGTCTAAAAGTTGTGCAGACATTGGCTGATGCTGCCCAGATGTGGAGAAAGATGTAAGACAGACAGCCAAAAGAGGGGTTCTATTTCACAAAACAGAAAGAATAGTGTGGTGACTCCTGCCACCAACCTTCAATAATGACCAACTCAGCCAGTTTTGCTGGTCCATACTTACCCTCCAACTTCCCCATCCCAATTATTTTTAAGCAAGTCTCAGATGTCAGACTATTTTACCATAAATATTTTTGTATATACCACCAAAAGATAAGGACTTAAAATAGCCATTATATTCCTGAATATTATCAGATGTTCCCAGATTGTACCATAATTTTGTATAGTTTGATTAGGAATCCAAATAAGTTCTATACATTGCACTTCATGTTTATATCTTTTCAGAGTCCTTGGCTGGGCGTGGTAGCTCACGCCTGTAATCCCAGCACTTTGGGAGGCCAAGGCAGGTGGATCACCTGAGGTCGGGAGTTCAAGACCAGCCTGACCAACATGGAGAAACCCCGTCTCTACTAAAAATACAAAATTAGCCAGGTAGGTGTGGTGATGCATGCCTGTAATCCCAGCTACTAGGAAGGCTGAAGTGGGAGAATCGCTTGAACCCGGGAGGCAGAGGTTGCAGTGAGCTGAGATGGTGCCATTGCACTCCAGCCTAGGCAACAAGAGTGAAACCGTGGGCCGGGCACCGTGACTCACGCCTATAATTCCAGCACTTTGGGAGGCCGAGGTGGGCGGATCACAAGGTCAGGAGATCGAGACCATCCTGGCTAACATGGTGAAACCCTGTCTCTACTAAAAATACAAAAAATGAGCCAGGCATGGTGGCGGGCACCTGTAGTCCCAGCGACTCGGGAGGCTGAGGCAGGAGAATGGCGTGAACCCAGGAGGCGGAGCTTGCAGTGAGCCACGATCGCGCCACTGTACTCCAGCCTGGGCAACAGTGCGAGACTCCATCTCAAAAAAAAAAAAAAAGAATCCTTTAATCTATGGTTTCTTCTGCCTTCTACTTTATTTTCTTGCAATTTATTAAAGAAATTTGGTTGTTTTTCCTGTAGTGTTCCCTACAGTCTGGGTTTTGCTGATTGCTTCCAAGTGACCTTGGTAACATGTTCCTCTGTCCCACATTTTCTATAAATTGGGTAGTTAGATCAAGAGGCTTGATCAGATTTAATTTTTTTTTTTTTTGGCAAGATTATGTTACAGGTTATTTCTCTCTTTCTTTTTATTGTGGCAAAAAAATAAAATAAAATAAAACCACATACCTAAAATGTATAATCTTAAGTATTTTCAAGTGTACGGTTCAGTAGCTTTAGTATCTTCACACTGTTGTGCAACCATCACCACCATCCCTCTCCAGAACCTTTCCATCTTGCAAAACTAAAGCTCTGCACCCATTAAACAAAAGCTCCTCATTGCCCCCATTCCAGCACCTGGCAATCACCATTCTACTTTCTGTCTCTATGAATTGGACTACTCTAGGTACTTCATGTCAGTGGAATCACACAATATTTGTCTTTTGGTGACTGGTTTGTTCCACTATCATAGTGTTCTCAGGGTTCATGTTGTAGCATGCGTCAGAAGCCCCTTCACTTTCAGGGCCTCCATTGCATGCATGTACCAGGTTTGTTTATCCACTCAGCCATCAATCTGCCCAGTCTTTGGCCATTTACACCTTTTGACTATAATGCTGCTATAAACATGGGTGTGCAAATATCGCTTCAAGATCGTTCATTTAATTCTTGTGGGTATATACCTAGAAATCAAATGACTGGATCCTAAGGTAATTCTATTTCTCATATTTTGAGGAAACTTCAAACTGTGTTCCACAGCAGCTGCACCATTTTACAATTCCACCAACAACGTGCAAGCATTCCAATTTCTCTGCCTCTGCTCCAACACTTGTTTTATTTTTGTTTAATTGCTACACATTTTTTGTTTTTTGATTAGCCATCCTCCCAGGTGTGAGGTTATATTTTATTGTGGTTTTGATTTGCATTTTCCTAAAGATCAGTGATGGTGACGCTGAGCATCTTTCATATGCTTGTTGGCCATTTGTATATCATATTTAGAGAAATGTCTGAGTCTTTTGCCCATTTTTTTAATTGAATTTTTTGTTTTTGTTTTTGTTGAGTTGTAGGAATTCTTTATGTATTCTGGATCCTAACCCCTTATAACCCTTGTATGAATTGCAAATATGTTCTACCATTCTGTGGGTTATTTTTTCATTCTGTTGATTGTCTTCTGATACACAGAAGCTTTTAATTTTGATGTAGTCCCATTTGTCTATTTTTACTTTTGTTGACTGTTCTTTTGGTATCATACTGAGGAAATCCTTGATAAATCCAATATTGTGAAGCTCTCCCCTTATGCTTTTTTCTACAGTTGTCTTTTTAGCCATTATTGGTGATTATTGCCAAGAACAATGATTTCACCAGAGGTTCCAAAAAATGTGATATTCCAATTTAATCCTTCTTCCTTTATTAGCTGAAATACTTCTGTAAAGATAAATTTCCCTCTTTACTGGGTTGTCCTGGGGCTCATTTTATGCTGGAAACATTTATTTTTTCCTTTTATTTACAAGTTTTCAAAATAATGTATTGGTTGCCTAGTCATCCTTAAAAGAGGACAAATGAGAGAGTTTTTTAAAGTTTCATTGTGAACTTAAACATTTAAGGAGTTTAATGTGTTTAATCCACAGCAGTTGTTATTTTTATTGTTCAAACATTTCCATCTTTAGACAAAGGGAGACTTCATGTTGGCTCCTGGATTTTTTTGGCATGGCCCTAAGATTTTTTGATCGATTCCTTGCTTTCTGATATATCAAAGTGTTTTAGGCCTATTTGACAATTTCCTGTCCTAGACAAAGAATTGACCATTGAGATAATATTTAAGTATAAATAGTACTGAGATTTTAAAATATAGAATGAGACTACTGTAATAATCTCAACATTGGCTGGGTGCAGTGGCTCACACCTATAATCCTAGCACTTTGGGAGGCCAAGGTGGGTGGATTACCTGAGGTCAGGAGTTCAAGACCAGCCTGGCCGACGTGGTGAAACCCCATCTCTACTAAAATACAACAATTAGCTAGGCATGATGACGGGTGCCTATAATCCCAGCTACTTGGGAGGCTGAGATAGGAGAATTGCTTGAACCTGGGAGACGGTGGTTGCAGTGAGTCGAGATCATACCACTGCACTCCAGCCTGGACAGCTAAGCAAGACTCCATCTCAATAATAATAATAACAATAATAATAATAATAATAATCTCAATAATAATAATAATAATCCTCAGTAACATTGTGGAATTGGACTGAACTATCCCAAGATTCTTGAGTATTGAGACTAGCATAATCAGGGCATTTATGGAAAAACATGAACCAATTTCATGTTTATACCCCCAATGAATTGAAAATTCTTAATGGGTTGATACAGACATCCAAGTGGAGAGGTCAAGAAGGCAGTTGGAGGCATAATTTAGAACTCAGTGGGAAGATCCAGGCTGAAAGCACAGATCTGGGAAATATCTTGTTGACTTATCTGTAAGTCTCAGGGATAGACGAGATGCTCTAGAGAGAAAATGCTGAGGGAAAAGAGAAGCAGGCCAAGGATAGAGCCTTGGGCTACACCAACAGTTAGTTATTTGAGAAGAGGTGGAACCAGCAGAGGGATCCAAACGTTTATTAAGTTAGGCGGAAACCAGGACATTGAGGTGGTCCTGAAACGAAAACAAGAGTATATTTCAAGAAGGAAGTCAACTGTGTCCAAGAGAGAAGTTGAGAGAAAGACCAGAAAACAACCATTGTATTTGGCAAAGTGGAAGTCATCTGTGACTTTGACAGGAAGGGTTTCCAAGGTCAGTGGGGTTGGAGGCATCAGTGGAGTGTGTTGAGGAGATGGACTGTGTCTTCATGGAGACTTCAAGGTAGTGGACTCTCAGTTATCTGATGACATTAAGTGACAGGTAAGGCGTCTCATTACCAAAGAACAATCTTACACACAGGGAAGGAGAGCTCCAAGTGTTCAAGCGGGCAGGTGGGCAGAGAGGAGGGCAGCAAACTATGGGCAGATCAGGCCTACTCTTTATCTGCTTTTTTTCAAAACCATAGTTTAAAAAAACATGTAACAGAAAATTGGTCATCTTAACCTCTTATTTTTTTCTTTTTTTTTTGAGACAGGGTCTTACCCTGTCACCCAGGCTGGAGTGCAGTAGTGTAATCTCGGCTCACTGCAACCTCTGCCTCCTGGGTTCAAGCGATTCTCCCACCTCAGCCTCCTGAGTAGCTGGGATTACAGGTGTGAGCCACTGTGCCCGGCTAAATTTTTTTGTATTTTTAGTAAAGATGGGGTTTCGCCACACCGGCCAGGTTGGTTTAACTATTTTTTAAGAGTCCAGTTCAGTAGTGTTCACTAAGTATATTCACCTTATTGTTCCATGGATCTCCAGAACTTTTTTTCACTTTGCAAAACTGAAATTCTATACCCATTAAACAACAACTCCCCATTCCCCCTTCCCCTGAGCCCCTAACAACCACCATTCTACCTTCTGTCTGGATATGTTTGACTACTCCAGGTACCTCACATAACTTACCTCCTTATTTAAGGAGTCTGGAAGCTGGCTGCAGTGGCTCACACCTGTAATCCCAGTACTTTGGGAGGCTGAGGCTGGAGTTCGCTTGAGGCCAGGAGTTTGAGACCAGTCTGG